CTATTTCTTGCTAATTTCAGCTTTTTAGCCAATTTATCGATTTCTGTGCTCATTTAAACCAACTTCAGCAAATATGTGTTTTTTCTACTTTCTTCTGCTAACTTAGGCTTGTTCTTCCATTTCACCTACATTTCAGCATGTTTTCAGCTAATTTCAGCAGTTTTTCAGCAATAAGCATTCACACTGTATTTTCAAAGGAAATGCAATTTCTCTAGTTTTAATTAAAGCCTTAATAGCTGTGAGAACACACAGTTTCATTTTGTTTTGATTGAAAGTTTTGTACCGAAATCTATCCCATAATTTGTAATTAATGAGCAAAATCAGGAGAATCATGTTTTGTTGTCAACAACAAGATGTTTATTTACATTCTGACGCTGATGAGTTTGCTTCAGAAAGCCTCGATGAGCAACAGCTGAGTTGACAAAAATAATCCCTGGAGTCAGAGGGAGAACAGCGGCACCGAAAGAGAAAATATGAACTGCGATTCATAAATCCAGCGTTATTCTCTCCCTCAGTGACTAAAAGCTGCGAGGACGAGTCGACAGCAGGAGCCACTTTGGGGAGATCAGGAGATCACTCTGGGAGAGCGTTAACGCAAACCTCAAACGAGCTGCGCCAAAATATTCCAAACTACTCATCTCTAAACTACTCGTTTAGTTGTAAACAAATATTTGCTGTTTAACAATTGTTACTTTTACAAACAATACATTTGAATTACATAATGTTCAAACTTTAATAAAATATGTAGAAATAGTCTTAAAAGCACAAAAATTCAAATCAAAACCACTGCAAATTGTATATTTTATTATGACTTTAAATTAATCATTTTTAACTTTTCTTCAGTCAAACAATGGAGTTGGTTCCTTCAGCACCATGGAGAGCAACTTTCTACACCGAATGCAACCTTGTTGACAAATGCATGTGCTGATGCATTAAATCAGGTGATATTTTGTTTATTAGTACTTTGAAACAGGATCTATTTAGTAGCTTAGAAATATTCTATCTTCAAATCTGAGAATTTATTATTTCTGTCAAAACTATTTTAAATGATTTGCCAAATGCCCCAACAAGTGTTTGAATTTAATCAATTTCAATTTATTCAAAGTCACTAATTTGCATACAGTAAATTTACCACGCCTTTGAGTATTCTTGGAAAAGTCCAGATGAGGATGTAATGGCTTTTGAAGCTTTTGATTGGTTAATTGAGAACAGTGGCATGGTGGAACAAGGCCTGTCACGATGATAAATTTTGCTGAGTGATTAATTGTCTCAGAAATTATTACGATAAGCGATAATATTGTTTGAAATTTGACAATAGTTAGTAATTATTGTCAAATTTAAGAAGAAATGTTTAATTTGTTTTGAGTGTAGTACCTTTTTTGACCACCGGATGTCAGTAAAGACTGTTTGAACTGAAGGATGGATAGTGAGGGAGCGAGCAGCGTATCTCTAAGAAAAATGGGAGGGCGGCCCCTTGACGTGACGTGGGCTGTCTCGCTTCAGTTCTCAAAATGGCGGATGCTCGGTTTGGTTTGAGCTCTTTAGCATAGCAACACAAAACTTTTAATAAAAAAATCAGTAAACAAGTTCTCAGCTTCTTTTTGTACAGAAAAACAACTTTTTACATGAAGACATGGGTTTCAACGTGTATTTTGGAGCTTCAACAAGACGGAGGTTTTTTTTCCCCCGAATTCAGCCTGTTAGCTTAGCTTCTCAGCTTAGCTGCTTTTAACGATCCAAAAATGTGATTTTGGATTGTTTAAGCAAATTTTAAAAAGAAAAGAGAAAGGGAGGGGTCAGCGAAGAGCACCGGAGTTGAGTCTTTTGTCATCCAGTGTCTTCGGTAGAAATAGAGACACGAAGAAACGATAAAGCCGATAAACGAAAATGAGGTCGATAATTTTAATTTATCATGTGATTAATTGATTTATTGTTTATAGTGACAGGCCTAGGTGGAACAGTTGGTAGAGCTTCCGCTTCTCAGAAAGAAGGCCGTCGGTGCAAATTCCAGCCCGGGGCCTTTCTGAGTGGAGTTTGCATGTTCTCTCCGTTCATGCGTGGGTTTTCTCCGGGTACTCCAGTTTCCTCCCACAGACCAAAAACATGCATGTTAGGCTGATTGGTAACTCTAAATTGTCCCTAGGTGAGAGTGATAGCTGGACATGGGCACCAGTGACCCCCGCGACCCAAAGAGAAAGAATCAAGTCAAAAATAATGGATGCATGGAGAGTTGAGAATGGCCTGTGGACGCATTTTACAGCAAACCTCCAACACACCGCTCCTTTGTGAGGCATCATGGGAAAATGAAAAGAAATCACCAAGATATCTGAAAGAATCATCGACTTCCTCAACTCTGCTTCATCTCTGGTCCAATTTCAGATGCCAGTAAGTTCTTCTGTTCAAACGATAAACACAAGGAAAAAGACGTGTTCTTTGTCCCCCAGATAAATGTCCATGTGTGAAATGTGTGAATAAACCACAGGACCAAAGCTGCAGACGTCGTGAAGATGCTGCTGAAGCAGGTCAGGGTCACTATCCACAGGAATACAAGTCCTGAACCAACATGGACTGTAAGATCACTCAAGGAGGACGAAAGTAAAACAGGTTGCAGTCTGAAAATGTAGGGACAACGACAATAATGTATGGAGACGAGTCCTGTGGTCTGGAGGCTGAGAACACGATCCCAGATGTGAAGAACAGGGGTGGCAGCATCCTGTTGAGTTTTACACCAGGAGGGACTGGTGGACTTCTTCACCACGAGGAAAGAACATTATGTGTAAATACTGAAGCAACATCTCAATACATGAGCTGAACATGGACACGAATGGGTCTTCAAACAGAATGTCCCTCAGCATTAGTAAAGTGTCCAAAGTTGTCCATGTTTCAGAGTGGCCATCAAAAAGCCCACATCTAAATCCCATCAAATTTGTGGGCAGAGCAGAAAAGGCAACAAACCTGACTCAGTTAGCTTGGTTCTGTCAGGAGGAATAGACAAAAGTGTTATGAGAAGCCTGAGGAGGGAAACACGGAAAGTTTCACCTGAAACAGACAATTCAAAGGCTGCGCTACCAAACGCTGAAAACGCGGATGGAAACTCGTGACTCTCTCATTATTCGGGCATGAGAAATAGTTTGAGTAACCCTAAATGACCCAAAACAGAAAACAATTCGATCTGATTTCATTTCAAACGGTGAGAAAAAATAGTTCTGTGCCTTTTAATCCGGTGTATGTAAACATCTGGTTTCAACTGATGCTGAGACAAATGGTACGAGGGATAAAGACATGCACAGTTAATTTCACTAAAACTAAAGAAATGCAGAAAAATTTCACGTCCACTTTGAATTCCTCTACTTTACAACAAGCATTAAAGCTCAAATATAACCGTATGTATATATATATATATATATATATATATATATATATACACACACACACACACATTAGGCCTGTCACAATAACAAATTTTGATGGGCGATTAATTGTCTAAGAAATTATTGCAATAAACGATAATATTGTCTGAAATTTGACAATAATGAGTAACTATTGTCAAATTTAAGAAGAAATGTTTAATTCATTTTCTGTGTAGTACCTTTTTTCGACCACCGGATGGCAGTATAATACAAAACCGAATGAAGGCTAGTGAGGGAGAGAGCAATGTGTCTCTTTAAGAAAAAATGGGAGGGAGGCCCCTTGACGTGACATGGGTTGTCTCTCTTCGGTTCTCAAAATGGTGGACGCTCGGTGTGGTTTGAGCTCTTAAGCATAGCATTTGTCACACAAAGCTTTTAATTAAAAAAAATCAGTAAACAAGTTCTCAGCTTCTTTTTGCAGAGAAAAAAAACCTTTTTACACGAAGGCACGGGTTTCAACTGTGAATTCTGGAGCTTCGACAAGACAGAGGTTTTTTCCCCAAGGTCAGCTTGTTAGCTTAGCTCGTAGCTTAGCTGCTTTTAAAGATCCAAAAACACAATTTTGGATGATTTTAATGGATTTTAAAAAGAAAAGAGAAAGGGAGGGATCAGTGAAGAACACCGGAGTTGAGCCTTTTGTCATCCAGTGTCTTCAGTAGAAATAGAGACACGAAGAAACGATAAAGCTGATAAATGAAAATGAGGTCGATAATTTTCATTTATCATGAGATTAATTTATTGTTTATTGCGACAGGTCTAATATATACACACATATATATATTCACCGTTTGTGAAAAACCTGCAGCGAAACAGTTTGTTTCATTGACTGTACTCAGAAGATTTTTAACAAATATGAAGTATCTTCAGTCTTCTACAGCTAGAAACCTTAAAGGTCAAACTGTGTCCCTAATGAGAGAGAAACCTCTGACATGTGTCTTTAAGGGGGCTAACATTCAGGGAGAGGTCACTATTTATTATATCACTATCATCATCATCAGCATCATCAGCATCATCACTATGAGCTCATTTTCAGCATCACGCTGGCAGGAAGGAGGCACATTACCTTGACCACCAAAACAAGCACTCAGGATACTGTGTGGACACCAAGGAATGTAGCCAACTAGCATCAGCCAACTAAACATCCTAAAACATGTGGATGAAAAAGCTGCTCTGCCATTTTATTTGGGCTCAAAGTGCAGGCTCTGGGGTTTATGTCAAAAAACAAACAAATAAATAAAAATGGGGTTTGATGTGTAACATCTGAAACAGATTTAATCTGTCTTCATTAATTGGAGCAGAGTGCAGAATTACCTTTGTTCCAAACTGCAAAAAGGGGCAAACAAAAGAGATCGAGAGATTGAGAACAAACCAAAAACCAAAAAATAAAATGAAAACAGTTGAGAAAATGAAACAAAGCACAAATCTTTAGCAACACTCATGTGTTTTCATCATTTCAGCCAAAAGGAAAAGAAGAAATATACGAACCTTTTGCTGGAGAAAGTCTCTGCTAAAACCTGTTTTAAGGCGTTAACAAGTGTTTTTTGGCTACATTCCCTCCTTATCCCGCTGAGTCTCGGTGGTATGTCCTACCTTTAAAATTCGGTCGGATTCTGGCGTCGTAACCTGAAACTTTGCCCATGAGTTTGTCCAGAAACTCGGACGGCGGCATCGGGGAGGTGGCTTTCCTCGCCGCGGCTTCTTTCGACGCCGCTAAACTGCAACACAGACAGTTCAGCTCGGTTAGAGGCAGAGCGGTGCACGGTGGGGGCGTCTCCATCACATAATCCTATTCATGCAAACTTACAGTGAATTTCAGCACAAACTTTGCTGTGATTTTTGTGTGAACGTCAGTCTATTTTTTTCCATTTTCACACTTTTTCACTTGTTCCCAACAGCTGCAGCTCATTTTAATCCTGTGACAGTTTCGCATCACGTTGTTATTCTGGCAGAAATATTAAAATCTCTCAGCTGGATGTGAGTCCTGAATGTCCCTGAAGTGGTGCCGTTTATTCAGAATTGTGTGTAATAAGTGTAGCTGACAAAGTGAAGCTCTATGGATGGAATAATGTGAATTTGTTAGAAATTAAAGACGACAGCGATCAACGTTGGGCTTGACTAATCTGTTAGCTCAACAGTCTTGTTAGGATTAAAACGTTTCTCAGTTTCGACTAAAACTAACTATTTGTAACTTTCATACCAAACCCAACTTTAAGATGCTCAAACGTTTATAGCAATTAAACATTTTTAGTCCCTGCTCGTTTCTTGTTATATTTCTTTAAACTTGATCTTAAAGCAGAAGCTATGCAGCACCATCATATAAATAAAGCACATGTCCAAGTCAAGGTTCGAGTCTTATTTGGCCCCCAAGATGATATTTTAAGAGTAAAATGTTGTAATTTCTTCTCATTTTACTTAAAAACTGAGCATTCTTTGGTTAGCACAGACTCCTCGTGACAGCTGAACTTTGAAGCAAAGAAAAATTAAGTTGTAATTTTTTTGTAATCTTTAATTTTGATGCGGAAAACGTGACAGAGAACGTCCAAAAAAAAGATTTTTGGTATCTGAGTGAATGTAGCGACTGAAACTGACCCTTGATTTGAAAAAAACGTTTTTCATTTTGGCCCCGTTTTGTAACTGACATTAACGCCCCTGAAATAAAGGCAAGTGAGAATTAAAAACACAACATTTAGTTAATGCATCAAAACTGTTTTCCCATAGCTGTCTTTAAAAACAATATGTAAATTGCATTTTATTTATGGATTTTTATTTTTTCAGCTACCTGTCCCCTGTCGACATGTAGATGAAATTATAATTGTGGCCATCTAAAATTAAAAACTAGTTACAAAAACATGAGGAAAGTGACTTGATTTCTCCAAACATGAATGACAATTTGGGGTTTTGGATCAAAATGAACAAAACTACGGAGAATAATTAAAATTGCGATGAAACTGGATGAAGGGAAGAACATATATTTAAAATATATGTATATTCACTGAACTGCTCTATTGTTAAATCAGTTGTTTTGGAAACATTTGTTCATTTTGAACAGAAAAACAAAGCAACGTAGTCTTTTTTTTTTTACAATTATAATGAACATTAGCATATTTTACAGCACATAAACATACATTGGGAATGTTAGTTTTTAGTTTAGCATCAACCACTAATGAAAAAGGGTTAAATAAAATGTAATGTGTGCAACAGGATCGAGTCTACAACCAACAATCTGACCAGTTATGATTATTGATTAAAAAATTAAAAAGTAAAGAACAAAAACTCAGTTTTGTGAAGGAACTGAACAAAAAAATGCAAACAAGCCCAAAAATAAAACAACTTTATGGAAATACAAAACATAAATGCTAACGTTGCACTGCCTGCAAAAAAAAAAAACTCTTATGTTTGTAAATGAGAACTGTTTCTCAAACATTTCACCTGGTAAAACAAAGATAAAATAAAAAATGAAGATCAACACAGAGATAGAAAGAGACACAAGGAGGCACAGTGAAAAACGCTCGACCGATGCGACAGTGGAGTCTAGATTATAAAGGTGGGTCGATGAGAGAGTGGAGACAGCTGAGCTAAATGAAGATAGGGAACAGGTGAGAGGGGAAGTGGCTGATGACAGAAAAACTACAAAATACAAATACAGAAAATAATTTAATCTAAAAACAACAAACACCAAGACACATCGTGACAAATACTAAGCGTGAGGATTTAAAATTATCTTGTGAAGCAGAACTTCTTTTAAAAAGATAAAATAAATAAAAAATAGAATCACTCCTAGAACGCCATTCATCCCGACACTGTTGTAACATTTCTATCTGACACGAGATGAAAACTTGCTCAAACTGAAACTTCAAAATCAAATTAACTCAATGTCTTTAAATTATTTAATCTAATTAAAACTCAGCTATGTGAAGTTAAACTTTTTTCATCTGTGAATTGATTGCATTAGTGGTTATTACCCTCAGACGTGATCCTGATCCCATTATTAAAACCAATATTTGAGCTCATTTAAGCAGCTCTGTGTCCTGCAGGGGCCCCCCAGTGTTGGTTCTGTTTAAGACTTTAAACTTTAATGAGCTCCTCACACCCAGATGTCATCTGCATAGCGTCCTCGGCATGACTTCAGCCCACAGACAGAACAAGAAGGAGTGTCTGCCCAACAGAGAGATGACTGTCACAAACAGGAAAAACAAAAACACCAAAGGGTTTTGTTTCCTTAGAGAAATGTTGCCAACGTTTTCAACAAAGATCTTGTGAAAAGAGAAGAGCTCAAAGTGTTGGAGGTGCAGTGTTCCCTTAGATCAGTTCCATTGGCGTGGCGCTCGTCATATTTTATTTTTGTCAACGGGAGTTGGAGGAGGATGGGACAGAGTCACGTTTGTGTTGCCCGCCTGCTAGCTTAGCTTAGCAGCTACGTTGGTGCCAGTTTTTACTGACAACAAGGTGGAGGTGTGGGGGTGGAGACACGAGACGGGTCGGACTCACGTATGTGTTGCTCACCTGCTAGATTAGTGTTACGTTATTGCCAGCTTTTATCGACGACGGGGTTGGGGGGATGCACAGGACAGGGTCACATCTGTGTTGCCCGGCCCACCTGCTAGCTTAGCGCTACGTTGCTGCCAGTTTTTATCAACAACGGGGGGGGGGGGGGGGGGGGGGGGGGGGGGGGGGGGGGGGGGGGGGGGGGGTGTCCGTAGGCAAGGTGCTCAGTTCTGCTGATGGGGTGGGGGCTCCCACTTGTATAATGGTAGGTGAAACATTGAGGTGATTCTCAGCTACTACCACATAGGAATGCACAATATATATGGTACACGGTAGAAACGATAGAAATTTAGCCTACGATAGAGATCTGTCTTCTACCGGCTAACCGCAGTAATGCTGTGTCTGAAAGTAAAATCAAAGTTGTCAGTTTAATCGTTACTTTTTTTAGTAGAAAACTGTGCGTAAGTGGTGTTAAAAGTTTTTTTTTTTCGAGAGCTAAGTAGCGAAGCTACAAGCTAACTACGGCCAGCTTGCCAGAGTGTTGCCGTATTCGGACGTATGCACATAACGCTGTGTTCCGTTGAAAGTTTTTAGTTTTTTCCATTGAAAGTTAAAGTAAGCGTTGGTCAGCTTTAGCGAAACCTGCTCTCCGATCTGTGAAAGAACGCTGTGTTGTGTGATTTCACTGCGAGACCCTCTGGTCAAAGCCACAGAGGAAACTGGTCGCCATTTTGTGTCAGCTCTCCTTAAAGCGGAAGAAGACGCCCCCTAGAGGGTGAAGTGTTTTCTGCTCTGTTGCTGACTGGGAACTGTTAAGCGTTAACAACATATTCTTTTGTTGAAAACATATGGCTAAAACTACATTTGATATCTTTTGCACTGCTTTGCACTATAAGAAAGAAGCCTAGTACTTGATTTGTTTATTATTTTAAAACTCTCTGGACCTAGTAGTGGAATTTTCTTAATTGAGATTATTTTGTGGTATAGCAGTTTTCAAAATAAATGATGGCAAAAAGACACACTATGTTTTTTTTTATTCCTATTGCAAGTTTTATACCAAAAACATATTGTGATATGAATTTTATGCCATAATCGCACATCCCTCCCTACTACCACACCAAATTTCAGCTAGATATCTGTAAAACTGACTGAGTTAGAGACGTTTCTGTGTTTGATTAGGTTGATTAATTGTGGCGGCCATCTTAAATGGGGTTGGCTCCAAAAATTAATCGGTTGCAGCTGAACACCGGCTGATTAGTTCCTGGGATGTGCATTAAAACCCATCCAGTGGTTTTTGAAATATTTTACTAACAGACAGTCAGAGACTCACAGATGCAGTAAATTACGATACCGGATGCTGGTTTCTCGAAAAGGTACTGTCCAGGTTGCAAATTAAAAATAAAAACATAAATCTAACTCTTGTTTTTGAAGTATACATAGTGAGCTAAACTCAACTCAATCAGCATCCTTCAAACAGCAGAACAGAGCGTTTCTTCTCCTGTTGGACGGGCGGTGCAAAGAAAACTGATGATTGTGCAGCCAGTAGCTGTAACTCCTGCTGAGTGTGGGGGAGGAGACCACCGCTGCTGCATTAATCTCACATTAATTAAAATGACACACGATACAGTCGATAGCGCTCAAATTCTCACCTTCTAAATGTAAAACCGCTAAGCGTGACTTTCAATATGGTGCATCGTGTCGCGCGGCATGATAAATAGCTCTATTAGCAATTCATAAACACGTCCCGCAGTCGGCGCCGACGCTGATGTGTATCGCAGGAGAAAACAGGGAGGAGACATGATTGGAAAACCAATTTCGAAAAGGGACAAATCCCTCGTTAGTTCTGGTTTAAAGTGCATTTGAGTACGAAATAAAAGTAAATAAACACAAACGCACAAAACCTGCGTGAATACACTTGGCTGGAGCGAGTTACACAAACTCGCTCTCATCAGTGAATAACGCTAAAAAAAAAAACATCCTGCAGGCCTCTGAAGAGATGGAGGCGTGTGTGCGTGTGCGTGCGTGTATGTGTGTTGATTTAGCCGCTGACTGTTCAAGCTGCCGCCACGCTCTGTCAGGTTACAGATCAAACTGCAGCATCACATGACCTTCGTCAAGGAATATCTGCGTTTGTTTTTCAGCGTTGTGCTGCAGTGATCAGTATCTTACCTGCAGTAGACAAGCATCACAGCTTGCAGAATCAGGGAGGAAGTTAGGCAAACAAGCACTCAGAGCAAGTCCCGTTTAGAAGAGAAACTTTAATTTCTACGGTCCTGTTTATAAGTCTTTAAG